AAACAATGATGAACATTACGGCAGAGACGGAAAAACAAAGTAGCGTGCGATCAATGCAAACCCTTGTGGCTATGTGAGAAAATAACTCGTTTTTGACGGCTAAGTCGTTTGCCACCAAAGCCATAGCCAGTTACGAAATCGTCCATGATGCTGAGTAGGAAAAGCATATGTATGGATTACCGGTTCAAAGAGTTTTTGTAGGTTTTCATAATCTTTGGGAGCATGATGAAGGTGTTTACAGCTGTTGCTTTGCCGCCGTACAGTCATGACGTATTTGAAAGAAAGAATAAGGGCGGGCGGAGAATGAGCCAAGTGCTAGCTTACTGCCGTCTATACCTTTAAACACTCATCAGACAACCAAGGTGTTTACAGCTGTTGCTTTGCCGCCGTACAGTCATGACGTATTTGAAAGAAAGAATAAGGGCGGGCGGAGAATGAGCCAAGTGCTAGCTTACTGCCGTCTATACCTTTAAACACTCATTCAGACAACCTGGATAGAACCAGAGAATAAACGAGAAATCGGAGATAATTTGTGACCGTATCGTTCAGCGTCTCTAGCCAGACCTAGTGACAATCACGCGATCCCCATCCTAGAGGGCGAGTGGCACCAACAGTACCCAATCATTTCCTAAGCTTCTTCATGTCAGTCTTCCAGGCCGAGGGTTGACCACGGTTATCGTTGGCTGCAAAATCTTTGAGGGCGAACTAAAACTTTCACGCAACACTTTTGGATTATTGTATATATACTCAAACCAAAGTCATCTTGATCTTGGCTGACAGTTTTTCATTCTTCACGGCATTTGAGCAGGCGTCAAAGAAACACAGCGGATAAATATAGAGTATTCGTGCGTGTAGCCAACAATCCAAGCACCAACGCTTTTCTGAATTACAAATAGGTGGACAGCGAGCGGCCTGCAGGACAAACAAAAAGTCGAGATATTTAAAGAAGCTAGTAAGCCTAACGTGTTTGTCACCAAGAAACAGCAATCAAATCACCGGCTGTCCAGTGCAACTTTGCCTAGGGAGGCAGAGGAACAGTCGCTTGTTCACCTCTTATTACTATTACCTATTACTACCTATTACTACCTATTACTATTACCTCTTATCATTATTGTACGATCGGATTCCGGTGGACCGAGAGCCAATCGAAGTGGAGTTGGGTACCTGAAGGCCCTGCTAAGTCATGGAGAGCTGTCGTGTGAAGTGCAGCGGCCTCCAGTCCATGAAATCGGCAAAGTCCTTTGGGATCGCGGTCGCCACGGCTGCACTACTGCAGTGGAGCCACTCTACGTTAACTAACCTGTAGTTTCTGTTGTGAGCACCCATGTCCAGATGACACCCGTCCCAGAAAGTGCATGTTTCTTCTAACAGGCGATGTGTCTACTCCACAATCATTTGTTCCCCTTGTTTAGAGACTAGCTTCATCTTAGCAGTAAGAAATATTACTCATAAGTTTTTCTTGGTTGCTTCCGCATCCACGGAATACAAACTACCGGACATTCAGTCGCATGTTAGTCGTGGGCGTCAGCACAATTCTTTTGGCCATTTTATTGTTATCGACATAAAAATTCTGGCATGCTTTGCCAGTTACAGTGGAGAAGCCCGTTATGGTCTCCCACCAAAATTTACCTGAAAGCAGAGGCCATCCACATCGCAAATCCTTATATTCTTGCAACCTTGCGTGTGCTGTGCGAAAGTAGTGAATGTGTCTACACGATAATGACTCGTAATGGCAGTCATCGAGGTCCTAGAACACACGATTCAGTATTAACCCAAAAATAGCAAAAACTATTTGCAGGAGTAAAACTTCCGCATATTTTGCCTCAAAATGCACAATTTAGATGCTAGAAAGCGGAGGAATTTGTTTCAGTTACAAAATTGCCTGCAGCTTTCGTCGATTTTAACCATTTCATTTTGTGTCGCGATTCGCGATATCGCATTAAAAGTTGTGTCGAGTAAGACAAAGCTGTCGTTTCTATTAAGATGCAGCGTTAATTGGCGGGACTCAGAAGTGGTCTGAATTTAGACTTTAGTGCTTTAAAGCAGCGCTATCGCGATTATTACCTGTTTACTCATTAGCACGTTACAAAGTCAGCGTCCAATGGTTCATGCCTGTAGCGCATCAGGTCCCTATATCCTACGGATAAAGTTCATACGAGCCGATCATACAGCCTTGGCTCTGATTTCACCGCGTACAATAACGCGTGTGATAACTGAATCTTTACATCCAAACATTAGTGTGCACGCGGATCCTCCACTAACAAGAATGGGGCAAATTGAGCAAGCGGAAATTTTATCCTTAAAAAAGTGAGGCCCCGGAACAAGTTTTCCCAAGGTATGCAATTTATCATACGTTTTCCCATCCCGAATCTTTGGTGGGTGCAATCGGCTTCTGGAAAGTGAGAGCTGCGTCGGCAAGCCATTACGTTTGTGTCAACGCAACTAAGAAATTAAAACAGTATTCACCAAAACGGTTTAGTGCTTTTCAGGAATGGCGTGGCGGACTTGCTATCGTTGGTTGCTATTTCAGGCTATCATGCATAGTTGAGGCCATATAATTAGTGGCCAGCATAGGTACGGGTCTAGCGCTTACCATAAGTGGAATTAGGCTGCAGAACTTCCAGTTACGGAGAGTCAGGGTTAGCCTTATTTTTCGGAAATCATGTCTCCCCGTAGGACGTACTGAAGCTTAGTTACCTCATATTTTTTCATTTGAGGTATATCTCACTATGATGATGCTGGTTAGTGTGCACTTCACTTGAAAAGGCTGCATTATCTCCTGCCTAGTTGCACTGAACTGAGAATAAGGAACTTTCACCGGGGTGCACAGTCAAAACGATTTTGAACCATACAAGTCTTTTCGGATTATTGCACTGTAAGCAAGGCGAGGTTCCGAAACAATATTGTGTCAAAGTTCGAAGAACGAACTCGGTTAATTTGTTACATCTGACGATCATAACGTATCCAACTGTTATTCACGTATCTACCTGGTTTAAATTTCCATAGGAATGTGTGTAGATGCTGTCTCACATATAAAGAAAACCATCGAGCATTATAATACAGTACAATTTAATCTTGCGCATTTTCCCACGAACCAGTATGCATGTTTAAATCGGCTGCGGAGGGTGACTTTGAATGCTTCCTCGCTTGGGAAAAACACCAGCAACATGCCACTGCAACGCGCAGCCGGAATGCGAACTCTCCCAATTCGTATTATCCCATCTCCACCTTCACCTATGCTCGTTATGAATTCGGCCAATTAACCAACCGCCCAAGGTCACTCATGGCCAGCAACGGTTTCCAAGTTTTAGTTTATGTCAGCCGACTGAGTCTTTGAATTAGTCGGACCTCATGCCTATTGTTCCTTACAAGTTGCAAAAGAAACATATCATTATTTAACCGAGTACCTCCCACTGTTAATAACGTTGTCCCCTTCTCGCGCAATCCTCACAACCCGCAAACCCCCCTGTCATACCCCAGCCTGACTGTAAATGCATGATCATGCCAGACGGTATGCCTCCCACAAGTTGGGAATATACATTATTATTAAGTTTGTTTCTAGCGGTTGTCAAGCCCAAGCGCTCTGTTGGACAACTTAGGTCAGCCCCGGGGCAATATATCCACTCGACTTGATGAGTTTGAGGCCCTACTGGGCGATCGTTCGCCGGTGGACATGAAAAGGAAAGGTAGACGACGGTGCAAGTAAGATGTTCCTTGATACGCAGTGGAACTTGAACTCAGTGCATTGGGAAAAGGGTCAGGATTAGATACTCCGGCCTGGCAGGGTCGCATTTAGATACCCTACCGAGTTTCAAGTGGGCACGAGAAATGGAACAACTGCCTCTCAAGACTTCTGATTTAGAGACGCCAGTTGTGTGTTCGTTTTCTCTGAGCACCACTATGGACAGTCCTTTTGAACACGCTAATCTTTGAATAACAAGGGGATTGATGTGGACTGAGGCAGTTGGCGGAGGAGCACTTCAACGTCAAATATGCTTGTCCGAAGGGGAGGGCAGGGCGGTCTTCTGTCTTAACAAAATTTAGTGCATTTAATAGTTTTACGCCGGATTTAGTTCCAAGGTTCCAAAGGGTCATCTTCGGTGTGATCATCTGCTTCCTTCGTTGTGCTGAAACGCTTCTTGTTCATTAGTGTAGGATGCCCCCATGGAATCTGGTTTGCGCGGACCCTTTGTTTCTGGGACATGCATTACACACCGATGGTCGAAAAGTTCAACGGTGGCTGCCTGCATCTCTGATAAGGCCGCGACACACGGATGAGGCGTTGTTTGCAGGTTTGGGGTTTAAAGGCTCGAGGTTTGTTTCTTGGACTCCAGGAGGCAATTTCAGCGTCCACGTGTCTTTGAGTCGGGTCGCTGGAGGTTCGGAAGGAACTAACGGAGGGAATTGATATTACTGGCACTCCAGAAAGACTCATTTTCGCACATGACCTCGCCTTTAATTCAAAAAGTAGCTTCCCGATGGAGTGACTTCTACGTTGTTTATTTGACTGCGATCGTGTTTCTCTCGTGTTTGCAAAGACCCACAGCTCGTCCGCGATCAGCAGGATTTTCCCGCCTAGTATTGTCGGCTTTGTGGCCTTCGACCACGCACACTGTGAGCGATAAGTAAGAACATCGTACGGCATCTGAATGCACTCTGCAAAGGTCACTTAGCCAGGGCATTTGAAAGGGTTGTGAATGGCTAAACAACGCCCACTGCACGCAAGATACCTGGTGATTTTCTGGAATATAAGGGCAAATTTTTGTAGAATAATTTTTCTATCGAACTTGTTATCTACATTTTCTTAGCTGGTCACAATACGTTTCAATATCGTTTCAGGATTGGCTCGTGGGTACCACGCGCTTTGCTGCACTTTGCTTCTTGTCTTTTAGATAACCAATCAGGGAACCAGACTTTTTATACATTCGTATCACGCGCCAAAGCCATTGGTCTGATCTTGGCTTTTAAATGTAGTTTTACTAACTAAATTGGAATCTTTCGTCTGGTCGTTAGACTCACATTCTTGCTACATCCTAATTAACACTTTTCATTGTGAACTCAAATGACGTCAAGTTAGCGCGCCTTAATCAGGCTCCATTGCGTGTTCCGACTCCGGTTTCAATTCCGGTGGTCTAATTTCCAGTTTTGGTGTGACATGAGTGGAAATGTGGTCAAGCACAGATCGAATCAAAAGAAAGAAGAAAATGGTGTTGGGCCCAAGAAGCCATCCCAGAAACTAAAGTGCAACCCGAAGAATACACTTGTCCTATGGAAGTCCCCTGTGTCAACTCTGTATAGCTTCTTCTTGGAGTGCGTCTTCCGCTTCACTCAGTTGCGATTTACTGTCCTTCGTAACAAGGGCCGGTTCTTCCTTCTTTTTTGTACACTTATTTCCATTGGGTTACTCAATTGCGTGGATGGACCCCACACTGAAGTATGTTTCTTTGTCAAGTAATTACCTCCTAGGTCTTTCAACGCCTACAGAAAACCATACTGTGGTGGGGGTGGTGGGTATGGTTAGGTTTTCTTTCCTCTTGTGGATTTGGTACGGGGCTTCATACATTTGTGCTGTACCTTGTAAGACACGTCGATTATTCCTCACACGTTTTCAGGGCCCCTTCATTGCAGAAGTGACCATGAGTGCCTACGAGTGCAAAACACTGAAATTCCCTCGGCCACCCTACCCTGACAGAATTATATGTCCAGAAGGAGCGTTCTTGGAGGAAAGAATTACGTTCTGGCGAATCATGCGTAAGGTTCAAATGGAATCGATTATGTGGGTAAGCCGTGTTTTGTCGCGTATCACCTGCTTTTCCGCATTTAAACTCGAAAATTTTCCATCTCAACATTCGGTTTGAGTCCTACTGAAAAAGTGCTGCTTTTATGATGTTCGACTCAAGCATGGTTAAGGTACCCTCAACCAGCAGTCGACTCAGTTCCAGCTGATGATGTAACAAAAGTATGCACCGAATATTTGGCGCAATTTGTGGTTTATGGCCGTAGTATAGATGCATATTTGACTATCAAACTTGAAAGAAGGAAGGTAGAAGGTGTGGAAAGACCGACAAGCAGATAGCCTTCCAAAATCGGAAACGCCAGGGCAGCGTGTCACATTCCGACATTGGTGGCGTCTGTGACGTCAGCTTGACTGTCAGACGCAGAGTACACAATGCTGCGATCTGACCCATCCTCTTTATAGACCCGAGATGTGGTCAGTGCATGCAGATCCTCGACGACTGCGCGGGCGGAGACTCCAGGACCCAACAAGCCTTTTGCTGGTCGCCCTTACAAATCGTATTGCGCGGCGGTCTAGTAGTAAAGTCCTGTGACGGGAAGGAGAGGCTTTTCCCCAGCGATCATTTCCCACCAAGCTTCATCTAGGCTTGACCTAGAGCTGCCACTTTGACGTGGTGGTCGGGCTTGAGTGCTCCAATGATCCTCCGGGCTACACTGGCTGGAACGTCGTTCCACAAGATGCAGCCATGTCAGGAAAGCCGAAAGGAAACAGTCAGATCAAGAACAATAAGACCCCGAATATCGTGCTGCGAGGTGACTTGGGGGGTCAAGTCGTACTTCCACCTGCGATAGGAGTGTGAAGGCAGTCCAACAGGTCAGATTATTGAGTCATCGGCTTTGGACAGGGTCTCCAAAGAAAATCCTACTGTTCGCTGCCTCCTGTGTCAGACTATGGAGTCATAGACTAGGGGCAGGTTCCCCAAACAAAACCCTACATCCTCCCACTGCCTAATAGATCAAACTTTTGAGTCAAGGGCTCAAGATGGGGTACCCTAACCAAACCCCTATCCTCGGCCTGGGCAACCGGGAAGTATCATGTACCCGCGCAGTTTGGTATCCACCCATGTCCCTCTCCAACCCCTTCTCACCATACAAGCAAACGTCTCTGGGTCATTTAACGGAGCGAGATCGCCTGACTGGTTAGAGCGCGAATTCACTGACTGGAAGGTCTGTGGTTCGAGCTCGACCTCTGCCTCTCGACTTCCTTGTCTAGGCTTGGGCGACCTGACAGTATCCCAGCCCTCGGGCAACCTTCGGCTGGCATGGCAGTTAGGCACCGAAAGGGTGCTACAGCTGAACGATTTTTTTGACTGTCAGTTATCTGATCAAATGGCCTTATGCTGCTCGCTGCCTATTAACGACAAACAAAATAACACGTTTCTAAATCCGCGAAATCCTTTCTATATAGGAGTTTTTAACGTCCGTAATCTGTAAATTGGCAAACAGGCATTGTCTGCTAAAACCTTAAAATGGATGTATGCTGTCTCCGAAAAACGCATAGAAGACTCAAGCGTGGTTATGGATCTCAGAACGCCACGGATGAATTCAACTCCTCCACATTTTCCCCTCCGTGTGTCCGGTGATCCAGAAGCGATAAGTCGAGGAATATATGGCTTGTAAGTTGCATTCAGCTTCAGAGCTGAACACGCTTTACTGGATTGGATCCCAGTGAACAGTCTGCGCCGTCCGGTTATCTACTCAACCAAGCTCAATGCCCCTCGGCATAAAATGCGGTGCCTGTTAGTAGTGCCGGCTCATGCCTCAAGGGACTGCAGTTCTGAGGCGGAGAATGGTACTTTCTATCGAGAGCTATCCGGACTCATTAGTCAAGCAAATGCACTGACGTTGTGATATTTGCGGGCGATAAGGATGCTCACCCGAGCTTTTGCTACAGGAAACAGCCGTGCCCCATTTCACATGATACGATCGACTGGCCCTGGGAAAGCAACGGTCAGTGAAAAGCTAAGTGAAACAGATAGCTCATTAATTCAGTCACAAAAACGTCCACTGGAAGCATAGGGCAAACACTTCGAAGAACAGTTTAGTTGACCCCCTGCAACCCAGTTGGTGGAAAAGGTGCATACGGGCATACTTTACTCGCCCGTCGGAAGAAGTAAAGTACGAAATATCCGTACTGAAACGTGAGAGGGCACCAAGATAGGACGGTTTGCATCCAGCCCTCTTGAAAGAAGGCAGAAAATCTCTTGTGACCCACTTGACAGCCTATTGGCGCTATATGGAACGAAGAGAAGGTGCCTGCAGAATGGGACATGTCGACAGTTATCCTTCTCTTCAAAAACGGTACGCAGACGCTGTGTAAAAGCCACCGTGGCATCAGCCTGGTAGTTGTTGCATCGAAAATACTCTGGTCTTATCCTTCGACGGTTGACTGAACAAAGAAAGAGACAGGGGCTCCTTCCAGCAAGAGGATGCATCGATCACTTCTTCATTCTCCAATAAAATCTGGAACAGCGACACTGATTCCAGCAGCCAACAATGGTTGCGTTTCTTGATCTGAAAGCTGCTTTTGACTCTGAGGAACGTCGGGCACTATTGCAGTGTCTGTGGAGCAAAGGTGTCCCCCATAAATTCTTCACCCTCCTTTAGACACTGTACGCCAACTCCAGCGGACGTCTGAAGGTCTACGGAAAGCTCTCGACTGAGTTCACCACATCAAGTGGTGTCAGACAGTGCTGTCCTCTTTCACTTTTCCTCTTCAACGTCGTCATTGATACGATCATGGAAGACTCATTATCAGCATCTAGTGCATGTGGGGTCGAAGTGGTCCTGGGGCGTCCGCACACCTATATCGAGTACGCAGACGACAGCTCTTCTTGGATCCGACCCCATGGTAATGCAGACAGTAATAAATAATCTAAATAATTCCGCCTTACGGTTTGGTATGCACTTCACACCTGGAAAGTGTGATGTGCTACTTCAAGACTGAGTAAGCTCGAACCTTAATCTCGTGCTTGCGGATGAGCCGACTGAGGTAGTAGATAAATTTGTTTACCTGCACAGGTGTATCAGTCCCGGTGGTCTCGCGAAAGATGATATCTTCATCCGGATCGGGAAGGCCAGAACAGCTTTTGTGAACCTGCGTCACCTGTGGCATGAGCGTGACATCAGCTTAGCCGTCAAGGGTCGAGTTTACAATGCTGCGGTGCCCACCCTATTACTATATGGATCAGAAACCTGGCCGCTGTGCACCGAGAACGTCAAAAGATTCTTAGTATTTGACCATCGATGCCTTCGGAGCATTGCCGAGTCTGATGGGAACACGGGATCAGCACTGCCGAAGTATGTCAGAAAAAATAGCTCACCCTAGATGGATGAACTGGTCACACTACATAGGTTGCACTGGCTTGGCCACATGCTGCGTATGTTAGTCCTCCGACTTCCTCGAAGGGTTCTTTTCGCAAAACTACGTGAAAAGTGGAAACGAGCCACGGGAGGTTAATGACTTCGCGGCGAAGTATAAAAGCCATTACCAACAAACTCAGCTGCACTGGCCATTGCCGTCTTTCTGGATGGGGACCCCAAGACGGGCCACATCAATGGTTGGAGAAGTCAGACATGGTCCAGTTGCGCTTTGAATGGCGCTCATGCACCCAAGCCATTCCCCTTTAATGCATAGCTCCCTTCCCAATCCCTCCACTTAATAGTCCGCTGACAGTCCTATATTTATGCATCAATTATTCAGCTCCCGCGCAGCTACCAACCTACCTCCCTAAATCATTGGTGAACGAAGCTGTGGCAGCTACAACCACTGTACGACAAGTACGCGGTTCTTACAGCTGATAATGATGGTGATGCACAATCTAAGACTTGGACCTAGATACGTGAGAAATTCACAGAGCAAGACTGAAAGGTGAAATCCGGCTGGTTTATTGAGGGAAGCTAGGAGAGATTAGTTCTATTCATACTTTCTACTGGTTTAAAACAGCAAATCAAGCTCACGTGAACAGTGTCGGATTCGCAGTTGCGGCTTACAAAAATCAGAAGACGACGGATGAACTATAGAGCATTATCTCCGTAGTGACGACCATCCGATTTGAACTGTCGGCGGTTGATTTTGGTTGCATTTATCAGCACCCGAATCCACTCGTCAGTCTAATGAGGAAAAGAATAAGTTTCACAGTCAACTGGTGGGTCTGATTCTATGTCCATTTTTGACTGACAGCTCTTTTTTTGGATGAGTTCCGTGCTGCGGTTGGCAGGGACGGGAAATTTGAAACAAGACACTGGGTCTATTCGGCATTGGACCACTGAACGGCAACAATGGAAGATTACTAAGGATGTTTGCTGCACTTGAAATCTCAACAACAAACCCGTCATTTGGCGTGGGACAGAAATCGCTCGTGCAGAAGTGGACACTGAAACCTAACCGACGATATCAATTGTATCATGGGATCTCGGTTATGTACTGAGCACTTGAATGATGCATGTAGCTCAGTACAACACGAATCACCCTGTGGTACCTGCCGAGGTACCTTTTGCACTTGAAAAATCGCCACGATGTGGACCGAAGTGAGACAATTAAGCAGAATGTGTACATACTGAGGAACCGGGATACTGTGGTAATTTTGTGAGGTTGCTACCACAAGAACGGTGGATAAATCACTTCCAGGCGTACCCATTGGTCTCGAATGAGAACAGATATCCAAGCAGTCTGTCATGATTTTTGTGTGCTTATTCTTATACTTACCATATATACTCGTACTGAACTTTTGTATGTACATTTCAGCTCATGTGCGCTTGTTCTTAGACAAGTAAAACGTTGCTTATCCTCGAAAACCTGGACTCTGTTCTAACTCGTTCTCGGACACTTTCTAAACGTCTCAATTTACTTGTCTAAGAACACAATGGACCCGCAACTACGACCTCGGTTCTTCGACGCTGACCCAAACTCCGCAGATGCAGCCAAACGCTGGAATCACTGGTTTCGTACCTTCGAAACCTATCTGAAAACCGTCGAATCTTC